AATAAAAAAAGATTGCATGAAATATCCAGGACTGCAAAATATAATCACTGAAATTAAAAACTTAATAGATAAGGTTGCACACATTTTATACATAGCAGAAGAGATGATTAATAAATTGGAAAGCAGGTCAAAAAATCTTCAAAACTGAAGCACAGAGAAAAAAGTAAAATGAAAAACAAAAGAATATAAGAGACATGTGTAATACAGTAAAAATGTCTAAAATATGACAGAAAAAAGAGAAGGAAGATTAAAAGTGTTCAAAGAGAAAATAGCAAACTGATTAAAGATACCAATGCACAAATACAAAAATCACTAAGAACCCCACGCAGGGTTAATAGTAAATAAATGACAAAAAAAATCAATAAAACCAGACCTATGTACCTCACAGAAAAACTGATAAAAGCTAAAGACCAGGAAAATCCTACAAGCAGCCAGAAGAAAAAAGACACGATAATATCAAAGGAGTAATGATAATGTTGGCTAATGGCTGATTTTTCAACAGAAACGATAGAAGTCTGAAGATAGCAGAACAGTGTTTAAAGTGCTGAAGAAAAAAAAAAACCCTACAAATATAAAATTCCACACTCAGCAAAAATACCATTCAAAAATGAAGGTAAAATTAAGACATTTTCAGACAAATTAAAATGGAGACGATTTGTCACTAGTAAAACCTCACTTAAATAAAAGACTAACCAGGGTCTAACTGGGCAGAAGAAAACAATCCCAGATGAAAGCATGGGAATACAGAAAAGAATAAAGAGGAATGGAAAAGGTAAACATGTGGGTAAATTAGAATGAATACTGGTTGTTATTAGCAACAATAAAAATAATACCTAACGAGTTTTTTAAATCTGTAGATTTCAAATACATGACAACAACAACACAAAAAGTGCGAGGGCATAGATAGAATTAAAATGTTCCGTTATTAGCAACAATAAAAATAATACCTAACGAGTTTTTTAAATCTGTAGACTTCAAATACATGACAACAACAACACAAAAAGTGCGAGGGCATAGATAGAATTAAAATGTTCCAAGGTATCTTATTGCCCAGTACTGTATTACCCAAAAGAATTAAAACATGTCCACAAAATTATATGCACACAAATAAATGTTCAGAGCAGCACTATTACTAATAGCCAGAAACTAGGAACAACTCAAATGTCCATCTACAAATGAACTGACAAACAAATTATGGAATATTTATACAATGGAATACTACTCAGCAGTAAAAGTGAATAAACCACAGATAGGCTAAAAACTATGGATAAATCTCACAGACATTATGTGGAATAAAAGAAGCCAGATTCAAAAGAGTACATGCTATACAATTCTACTTACATGAAGTTCTGGCCAAGAAAAATTAATATATGATGCTAGCAGTCAGGAGAATGATTAGCTTTGAGGATATCAGAAACTAGAAGGGATAGAAGGGGGCCCGTGGGAGGTTGGCAATGTTCTATTTCTTGATATGCTTGCAGATTACGTAGATGTAGATGTGCTCACTTTGGGGAAACGCATCAAGCTCCATACTTTGCGTACTTTTCTATATGTATTTCCAAAAAAGTTTAAAAAAATATTTCATATGTACAAAAAGTTATGCAAAGAATAATAACACTGTATCTACCACCAAGATTAAGAATCAAAATTTTACCAATACAGCTGATTTGCATACTACTCACTGGCCACACCTCCGCCCACCCCACTGGAAATAACCACTCTCCTGAACATGGTGTCCACCATTCCTCTGCACTATTTTGTACTTTCACTCCTTGTATAAGCTTCCCTAAACAATATATAGAATCGTTCTGCATGTTCTCAAACTATAAATAAAAGGTAATTTCATTTCTATTTTTAAGAGATAATTCTAAAAGGGGCACAAGGGAACTTTCTAGGATGACAAAAATATTCTATATCTTGATTGGAGTATTGGTTACAGACTATATATATTTGTTAAAAATCATCAAATTGGATGTTTAATATCTGTGCATTTCACTATATGTAAAATTTTATCTTCACTTAAAACAGAAAATGTTTTAAAATAGATAATTCTGGCTTTGTCACAGGGAATAGGTGGGGGTGGACAGAAGTGAAACCAGTGAGGCCAGTTAGAATATTGCAGTAGACCTGGTGGGTGCCAACTCATCTATCTGAAGGGTAAAAAGGTAAAGACTGATTGTGGAAACAGCTCTCTGAGCAGCTTAACTGTGCAGTGGAGCAGTAACTGGAGGGAGAAGTGAGGTATAGAGGGGGTTTTTAGAGATAGAAGGTCAGGCTTAACCCAGTAGAGAGGAAAAGTTGAAGACAGACCAGAGGTGAGAGGTTAATGAAGGAACAAAGTCCTTGAGAAGGTGAGGGGATAGAATATAAAGTCAAGGTGGTTTGGTCTTTGTTAGGACACATGTCGTCTTGATTTCTAACTTGAAGAAAATAAAAAGAAGGGTACAGATGCAGGGAAGATTGCTTCTTTGGTGGTGAGTTCCCCTCCAATGGTTGCTACTTTTTCAACGAATATGAGTCATTATCTGAAAAGGATGGGGGGTGGGAGTTTTGAGGGCTGTGAACAGGGACAGTATGGCATTACATTGGAAAAGACTGGAAAAGCATCCCAGTCTGGTGGGGAGTGGTCAAGAAAAACCAGAGGTTCCCTTTTGGACAGGTTAAATGCCCAACAGATACCCAGACTTTCGTCATATAGAGTGAGCTCAAAAGCAAGAAGCAAGAACATTGTTATTCATCTTTGTGCTGCATAAAGTACAGTATAACCTGTATTAGGTACTCAAGAGGAAATGAACAAGGGAATGAACGAAGATTATATTTTTTCACATTTTCATAGAACATTTTATATCTCCTGTCATATTCTACAATGGAAATGAAGAAAACATTCTTTTCAGAAATAATTCACTTTGGGTAGCAAATGCATTTTCCTTTTTCTCATTTTCATTTCTGTGTGTTCTTGAAGGAAAAACAATCTCTGTCTTCCAATTTTATCAATTCTTCATTTTATCTAAAAAAAATGATATGCTGATCTTCTAAGATAATTTTTAAGCAGAATTCACCAATGTGGAATTTTTATAGGAGAAAAAAAAGATAGAATCTAGATGCCCATATTACCACAATTTGTGACAATCATAAGAATACAGTTAATGAAGAAATTGGAAGCTCTTGCTAAAAAGGATTAAACCTCTTCTTTGTATTCAGGACATTGGTGCTGATGCTAAGTCACACATGCACACTGAGTGAAGAATGTCTTTAGCTCAAGCACTGGAATCACAGGGTGATCTCAGCCAAATCTGAAGTGCCCAGAAGAACACAAGTACTAGCTGTCTTAGGAAATGAGTTAGCACAATGTGTTATCATTTCTCAATTATGAAATGGAAAAGGGTTATAAGTGTATTACTTGCAGTATAAGTTATTTGTTTCATTACACTAAGTTCCATTTAAAAGCACTCCATTCATGCATGAAGCACCGTTTTGGTTGGCTGAGCAGTAGGATTTCTGCACTTATAATTCGTGTAATATAGTTACTATGTATATTGAGTCCTAATTCCTGTTGCCAAAGCCAGACTGTAAATGCATATGTTTTTGTCATTTTTAAATACAGTAATTCAGAACTTCAGCTGCCAAGTTTGGTGCTAATATTCTCACATATGCAGTTCATGCTCTGCTCTTAAAATAATCACTTGTTTGCTTTCAGAAGCACCTAGCACGATATATAAAATGGCAGCATTAATTTAAAAAATAAATAAACAAAGAACCTAAATCATTAACTAAATGCAGCTACGATTTTTCTTCCCTTGAAAATATTCCCTTTCCTGTAACTCTTTTTATTTAGTAATTATAAACCCTGGTCAAGCAGTAAAATAGCTGAACACCTAAAATATCAACAAACCCCAAGTAGCAGTGTTTTCAAGAAGGAAAAGAAGGAATATCTCAGTTTCGTGCTAGACCATCCTTTGAGGCACTGTCATTTTAAGTGTGGGGTATCAATTATTTCTCCTATGCCAAAAGATCTACACATTTAAAGGTTTTGTAGGTCCACTAAGAAAATAAACAACCACTTCTCTGTATCATTAAACACAACAGGCTACTATCATGTGCTGGTTTTAACACACCAGGAGAATTCTGAGCATGAATATTAAGATTTAACATTTCAGTTTCAAGTGAAAGAGTTGCTCTGTGGCCAAAAAGCATTGAAGCCATACGTCAAGTTGTCAACTGCATAATATCTCTAGGGCCAAAGACAAGCTCCATTTCAAAATTCTGTAATCTTAAGAGTCTGAAAAAACCCTGGGGGTCTCCTAGTCCAATATGACACTCAAGGCAGGAATTTTTTCCCCAGCATCCCTGACAGATGGTCCGCCTCTATGCCAATTACTCTAGTGGGGGAGTTCCCAAGTTATAGTTCACAAGGGATATGATGAAAGGTTAAAACCAACCACTTAGACAGGGAGTAAAGCTCCAGTTACTAAGCTTCAAGATACAGACGTTGCCAAACACTAAAAGCAGACTTCCAAAGAATGCGATTCGGAAATAACATTCAAAAGGATGCAACGTTTAAGACAGGCAGACCCCCAATTAAGGGACCATCCAAGGTCCTTTCATTTGAGAAGCTCATACAATCCGGGAAGAGAGGTGGATTTCTTTAAGAAATGACTCTTTAAACTCAGCATGACTCTTTGTCAAGACAGCAGCATCAAATCCCTTCCTTCCGAAAACCAGCCAAGGGACCCCCTGGTGGAACGGCTAATGCTTAAAGTACTCTAACTTTGGTCTTAAAATCCTCGCTACAGTAAACCAGAACATTTCGGGTTTTCTTTCAAAGGTGTGTATAGGCTTTGCTGTATGTGAAGTTGGTTGATGAGTGGGGATTGCGTTTGAAGCGCACCCCTTCATCCCGCCTTGAAGTCTGGCTTGATCTCCCCAGGAAAGGCGAGCGCGCGGGACTGAGCTGCCGGCACAACCCAGCCGGACCCCGGCATGGGCGGCCCGGCCCTTACCTGTCGATGCTGATCACGCACAGGGTCATGATCGAGGCCGTGCAGCACATGACGTCCATGGCGATGAAGACGTTGCAGAAGAAGTGGCCAAAGATCCACTTGCCCCCGATGAGGTCGGTGACGCTGACGAAGGGCATGACCGCCACGGCCACCGAGAGGTCGGCCAGCGCCAGGGACACGATCAGGTAGTTGGAGGGCTGGCGGAGCTTCTTGACGAAGCACACGGAGATCACCACCAGGCAGTTGCCCGCGATCGTCAGCAGCGTGATGAGCGTCAGGATGGAGCCGATCACAACTTTCTCGGCTCTGCCGTAGTTGATTTGCTCCCAGCAGCCCGAGGCATTGTCCGGAGGCGCGTCCCAGGTGGGCGCGGGGCTGGCGGTCACCTCGGGGACCCCGCTCAGCGGGTGCGGCGCCCAGGAGCTTGCGACCGGGTCGGCGCCACCGTCGGGGCTCAGGTCGGACAGCCCGCGCCCCACCTCTGGCAGGAGGAAAGAGCGGAGGTGCCCGTAGAGGTCCGGGCGGCCGCTGCCGTTAACGTCCATCATCCTGGCGCCGCGCGCTGCTGCCCATGGAGCCGGCGCCCCTCCACGCGCTCCGGCCGCCGGCCCCGGGGCTCCCCTCGCCGGCTCGGC